AATGTTTTTATTAGCCATTTTGGAAAGAAATCTGAAGTCTTTTAAATCGTTTTAAACCAACCACACCAGGCTAGTTTAACATGTTTTAATGGTTCAGGAACATCATTTAAAAACCCACAGTGATGGTCCTCTGGGGCCCCCGGAAACACTCAGGGGGGGCTGAGATGAGTGTAGGGTGAGGAGAGGCGGGACACCAGAGTTGCTGGGCTCAAGTGGCCCCCGCATCACCATGCGTCCTGAGGTTCATGCCTATTCAGTGCTGTCACACTTCCCTCTCTCATATCAGCTCTTTCATTCCTTCCCTTTTGTTGGTGGTCCCACCCCTGGTAGCCTGCCACTCTCTCCCAGGGTGGGTTTCCATCTGCCATGGGCAGGAAAGTAACTTAACTGCAGTCATGTGTCCTGCTGGTAAACATTAAACGGAGAGCATCAGGGACTTTCCCCTGCTGCTAAAACATTTGCATTTTGTACATTTTGGGGCCATTTTGGGGTTCTTAGACACTATATATGATTGCTTCATTTTTTCATAAATATATTCCCTATGGTTGAGGTTTACTGAAATGATGCCACTATAAAGAAAATTCTTACTCCATGTTTAAAGGAAAACTGGTAAGGAGACATGTCCAAAGAACCTCACAGATGAACCTGGCCTCTCCCCGCCACCAGGTTCAGGAAAGTGATCCCAGGCATCACAGCGCTCTGGGCAGGCTGGGGTCACACACGGGGCTCTGTGCAACAGGGCAGGTGTGCTCCACGGCCCCAAGAACAGGTGTCCAAAGGTTTTGTCCAAGTCCCCCTCGGTCAAGCTGTGAGCTTTCTCTTTCAGCTCTCCATCCACACATAACGTGCCCAAGTTCCACACCCCTGTTCAAAAGTGTTCGGTAGCAGCCAGAGCAGTTTGATGACAGATAATGCAAAGACAAAGGCAGGAGCAGGGAGATGGGGGGAGAGGTCCACTCTGCTCCCTGCTCCTCCTGGAGCTTCAGCCCAGCCTCCCCTGCTGTGGGAGACACTCTTGAAGAGGGTGCCATGCCTCCCTTGGGCCCTACCAGTGGTGTGCTTACCAGCCTCCTCTCTGCTGGCGCCTCATGGTTGGTGGCTATCTGGACCAGTCCATGGCTCCTTTACCTGGGGCCGTTGAATTCCCAGGGCTTCAGACCTTGTCCTCAGTGAGGAAGAGAATTGGGGAAGGGACCATCGTCCCGGGTTCACGACCCATAGACCCTTCTCATGCTCCTACACAGGCCACCGCTGGAAGCCTTCTGCCTTCAAGATCTCAGAGGAGGGGCAGCTCCGGTCCCTGTGTTTGCTTAGTTCTCCCAGGTGGCAGACATCTCCCTGTCCTGGAACCTTCCTCAGCACCCTCAACTCCTCTGTAGTGGAAGCACCGTGGTGGACCTGGGGTTTCCACAGCCAGGAAGCATCATGCTGGAGCAGAATGTGCCAGCTCACCTTCTTGCAGCTTTATCCAATCTCTACTCTTGGAGCTCCCCCACTGATTCTGGCAGTGGAAGTGCTGCAAGAAGGACCTCAGTCCTTGTCTTCTTGGAAGAAAGAATTCAGCAAAGAGACCAAGATTGTGAAATAGAGACAGAGTTTATTCAAAGCAAAGTACACGTGGAAGAGCACACAGGCGAACTCGGAGTGAGTTGCACACAATAGGGGCTGCTTAGGTTGCTTATATGGGGGCATTTTTCCAGGTTGTCTCTGGCCAATCATCTTGAAGTGTCTGCAGGAGCCTGGTTGCAGCTGCTCAGCCTGTCTCCATCACGTGGTTGAAGGGGAACATTCTTTCCATGCCCAATCGTCTTACGTAGAGACTGCAAAATGGTGGAGCCACTTGGGAAAATAGTGTGGCAATTTCCCAAAGCGTTAAACATACAATTGCCTTGTGACCCAGTCGTTCCACTCCTAGCAACCTACCCGGGAAAAATAAAAGCATAAGTCAGCACAACAACCTCTACACAAATGTTTGCGTTATTTGTAAAATCCAAAAAGTGGAAACTATTCAAATGTATACAAACTGGTGAATGAATGAACAAAATGTAGTCTATCCACGCAGTGAACTATCACTCAGTAATGAAAAGGAACAAAAGTACTGGGTACACACTCCAGTATGTATGAACCTTGAAAACATACACAGTGGAAAAAATCCAGAAAGCTAGAGACAAAAAACATATATTCACTGTAGGATCCTATTTATAGGAAATGTCCAGAAAAGGCAAATCTAGAGGGACGGAATGTCCATTAGTGGTTGCCTAGGACTGGGGATGGGAAAGGAAAGAATCCATAAATGGACAGGCAGAATCTTTAGGGGTAATCTAAATGCTCTAAAATTTGAGGTGGTGATGATCATACAACTCTATATACTTGTATTGGGTTGTACTAGTAATGTGTGTGTGTGTGTGTGTGTGTGTGTGTGTGTGTGTGTGTGTGTGTTGGATAATGTAAATACACTTGTTTTGGGTTGAATGGTGCCTCCTCAAAATTCACGTCCACCAGGAACCTCAGAATATGACCTTATGTGGAAGCAGGATCTTTGCAGATGTAATTGGTTAAGATGAAGTCATACTGAATGAAAACGGGTCTTAAGTCCAATGACGGCTGTCCTTATGAGAAATCCTTGTGAAGACACAGAGAAACATTCAAAGGAAGTGCCCATGTGAAGATGAGGGCAGAGATTGGAACAAAGCTGCCACAAGCCAAGGAACATCTAGGGCCACCAGAAGCTGGAAGAGGCAAGGAAAGATTCTTCTCTAGAGCCTTTAGAGGGAGCACAGTCCTGACGTCATCTTAATTGTGGACTAGCCTCCAGATCTGTGAGAAAATACATTTCTGTTGTAAGCCACCAGCCTGTGGTCATTTACTACTGCCACCCTAGGACACGAAGACAATACTAAAACCCACTCACTTGTACACTTATATCAGGAGAATTTTGTGGTGTGTTAATTATAACTCATATAATATAAAATTAAAAATTTTCTTAAATAGGCCAGAGGAAAAGAGGGGTGAGGACCAAAGGTTAGGGATGCTAGAGGCAGTTCTGCCAATTCTCAGATACGCGGGAAGAGGAATCTCACCATGGCTGTAAGCGGCTTTCTTTAAAATATGGGACTCACAGTGTGTCTTTTCCTAGGTTCCGAATCTGTCCACTCCACATCTTGTTATCTCTGCCACACACCCACTGACTGTAGAGAAACGTCACAGTGCAGAGTCTTCCATGGGGTTTCAGGCTACAAAGTTGGTAGATGTCTGGCTCATTTGTCTCAAACCCTCCTGACTGGCCTTGGGGAAGACATGCCCCAGTATGTGCCAGTCTCAGGAGAAGGCCCAGTGTTTCTGTGGTCAAGTGCCCAGGGATGGGGCACTGGAGGGCTCTGAGGTGGGATATGAAGAGCATAGTTGTGAGCTTGACCTTATAAATGAGGGAGGGTCTTTCTTTCTGTGATTGGGAAAACGAGGTTAAAAAACAGGCAAAAAATATAAATTTGTTTTAGTTCTTTTTAAATCTTCCTGGTTGTTTTTGATAACATCTTGTTGTTCTCTCATGTTTTAAAAATATCTTTAAACGTTTAGTGTATGATTATTTCAGGTTCTGTGTCTGGTAATTCTAGCATCTGAAGTCTTTGGCGGATGCTGATTCTCAATGAGAGTAGATTGTTTCCTCATGTGTTTTATATTTTTGTTTTGTGAGTTCATGTTTAGAGAAGGTTTATCTGGGAGAATCTCAATGGGCCTGGATAAAGGACCCATCCTTCTGGACTGTGTTTTTGTTTGCTTTTGCTGGATTCCTCAGGCCCATTACCCAACTAGGCTCACCATCACATCAATCCTTTAGCAGGAATTTGACTCCAGACCTATGTAGAGTCAGACCAGCTACAAATTCTCAAGTGAGATGGTTTTTCTTCATTCGCAACACAAGCCAAGGCAGTTTGCTTCCATCGTGCAGTCTTACGTATTGACTGATTTTTGGTGATTGGCTTGCTCCTAGGATAGAGCCCTTTGAGGAGCTCTGCGTGGAGGTTTCACTTTTATCACCTGCCTCACAGGCAGTCAAAGCACCAGCACTGTAATACCTGGGGCCTTTCAACATCCACCTTTGTTTCTGGCTCCTGGGTTTTCTCTCACTTTCTTATAAACTTAGTATGCATTGAAAAGGTGTTTGTTATACACTGTCCAGCATTTCTAGGTGGTCTGTGGCATGGGCCTGGGGCCTCATGTCTCCTGGCATATTGCCCAGGATGGGAGTCTATAGATGGATTTTGAGGTGGAGAGAGGGAACTGGACAAGTTTCACAAATAAAGGTTCCTGTTCTCTCAGTGCATCGGGATGAGACTCCCTGCTGTAAACGATGGGGGAAGGATAGGTCCAAGGTTTCCACGTGACTGTAAAAGTTTGTGCCAGCTGTGGGATGGGATGTCGAGAGGTCACTTCAGGGATTGGTTAGCAACAGCCAGGGCTCCATCTCAGTTGACTAACAAGGTTTCGTTTCCATAGCTGACAAGGAGAGTTAGAAATGTAGGAGATTACAGAAGGAGTGTAATTCTCAATGGAAGCCCCCTTTCCCATCCGATAAGCAAGTCACATCATTGTCCTGTGTGTTCTAGGGGATGTGGGTCTGCCATCCACAGGCATTGGAAGAGAGCAACACCGCACGAGTACGAAACCACAGGGCAATTTCTGCTTAGGGCTCATTTAGTCCAGTTTCATTTTTCTGCCACCTTCCAACTATCTTGATCACGATTCTAGCTCAGCAGTTTCCTGAATGCATTTTATTTCAAAGAAACACCTCCTCGGGAATTCTCTGGAGATCCAGTGGTTAGGATTCTGCGCTTCCACTGCCGGGGGCCCGGGTTCCACGCTCCCTGGTCAGGGAACTAAGATCCCACAAGCCGCGCAGTGCAGCCAGAAAGAAAGAAAGAAACTGAGCTGCGTGTTAAGGTGGGGGAAGCCGAGAACCCTGCTTTGCCGAGTAAGTTGTGTTGTTTTTGGGTTTTCAGTTCCTGCGATGATTACGTCCTATCCAAACACCACCCTGGCCACTCAGGGTCAGAAGAAGGAAATGAGCTGCACGGCCCATGGCGAGAAGCCTATCATAGTCCGCTGGGAGAAGGAAGACAGAATCATTAACCCCGAAATGGCCCGCTATCTCGTGTCAGTCAAGGAGCTGGGAGAGGAGGTGATTTCCACTCTGCAGGTAAAACATGACAAACATGGCAGATGAGAAGCTACCTTCATGGGCAGAATAAGCCTGTCTTTTCACATAAGTTGGTACATGTGGGTAGCCAATAGCAAACCAGCTTTTGAAACATTTACAAAGCACTGTCTCTCCCCATTCCCATAATGGGATTGCTGAGTAGCCTGCCAAAATAGTGCCTTATCATACGTAAAATTGTTAAGAGTAAAATTATTGGGAACATGGCAGGGAACCCAACCGTAATAATAAAAAGAAAGAGAGAAACAGAGTCTTTTAATGACAGTTAATCCTGGCGGAATGACAGCCTATGTTGCACACATGTTTTAACTTCCTGTAAAAAGAAAGACTAGATGGGTTCTTGGACAAAAAATACTATAAGGAAAATATTTTGCTTCTTGGGGAAAAACCCAACATAAAAAAGTACTGCAGTCTCTTAGAACTTTTAGCACCACTGGCAGTTAGCTGGGCGATTCTTTTAATATGGTGGAGAAATGATGCCGTAGGACACACATGGAAAGGAAAAGTCCTGTGTTTGAAACGCTAATATTGATTCACTCCCAGGGTCCAATCCTGGAGTCCTGGGAGACCAAACCTTTATTGCGGTGTTTATAGATCTGTTTTTTCAGGCAGGGATGCTTTGAATGCTTTAACAATCCACTATGAGATTAAAAAAAAAAAAGTATATGGGGAATATATATCAACCTGACCGTGACATCCTACGTAAATTACACATCCAATTTCACAAGCTGGCAGCTGACGTGGATCGTCTACATTGCCTCTGTCCATCTGCACATTTACAATTGTGCTGAAATAATTTGCTCTCAGAATTGTGTGTCCCTAGGTGTGTGTGTGTGTGTTTGTGAGTGTGTATATGTGTGTGCTTGGGGCTGGGAGGAGGGTGAGAGTGGAGAGAAGATTTTTACAGCCAAAAGCCCTTGAGTTGTTCCCTCGCTCCGCTCTACTGGGTGAGATGGATTTCTCTCTGCTTTACGCGTAGATTTTGCCAACGGTAAGAGAAGATTCTGGCTTCTTCTCCTGTCACGCTATCAATTCTTATGGGGAGGACCGTGGAATAATTCAGCTCACAGTGCAAGGTAGGATGGACATAGCCTAGGGGGAGAAACACGGCTGTTTCAGGACAGTAAGTGTGTGCCCAGGCTTGGGAACCTGTGTGGCCTCAGCTTGACGCGCCACACTTCCAAGTCCTCAGAGAATTTTGAATCTGTACAAAGTTGGTGCTAAAGCACCATTTCGCAGATCTCATGATTATGTCAAGATGCAGCCCCAAAACACAGGGAACAAAGTTCGTAAAGGAATTGGGTTTGGATGACTGGGCAGCCCTGATAGTGTGCCTTTCTTGCTCAATTTTAAGGATCCTTATACTAGACGATCCGAATGAAAGTTTAATATCTGGGGCCAAAATAGTTTTTGAGTTAATAGATCCCAAGCCAGACCAGAAGAGTGACACTGAAATCTTCCATGTTTGGTCCAGCTTTACAAGTGCTGTGAAAACTGGCAGATTTGAAAAGTGAAAATTTCCCATCCTCAAAAGGCATTGGGGAAAAAGAAATACTTCCAGGTAAAAAAATCGTCTGCCCATGTCGAATGCTGACAAAGCTTTTGTGAGTCACCCTCAGCTTTTCCACTAGCGTCTATGTCTGAACAATATCTGAACTGATCCCGGGTTTCCTGTTGACTGCACAGAGCCTCCAGACCCTCCTGAAATTGAGATCAAAGATGTGAAGGCACGTACAATCACCCTCAGGTGGACCATGGGATTTGATGGAAACAGCCCCATCACGGGCTATGACATTGAATGCAAAAATAAATCAGGTAAGTCCTTGATTTCCTCCAACTTTATTTCCACTTCAAAAAGCCCTTTTATTTTTTGCCTTTTTACTGGATTTTACCTGTAAGAAGAACCTGGACTCCGGGAAACTCAGAGTGGGCTCTTTTTACCAGTTTGTCTCTTTCCTTGCACAAAGTACAACCACGTTTCCTGTGGTGGGAGTGGTTTTCTGTCGAGACGGCTTCGTTGGGTCAGCCCTGCCTCTTTTCTCTTTGAACCAGCAGGACCTCTATGTGATTGCTCCCTGTGACCACTTTGGCACTGTCGCCACCGGTGGCTGCATGGGCTTCTGCCGACCCGACCTGGCCCCTGTCATTATTTTTTCTACCTCTCCGGCTTCCCTTTGCTTCCCTCGTGTCCGAATCCCTGAGTACCAGCTGTGTTCAGTGTCTGTGGGCTTAGTCGAGTGGTGGTGGTTTGAGCAGAGCGCCACGTCTTCTCCAGATGGGCTCTGACCCTGCAGGGCCCTCCTGGATGTGCAGGGACAGGCCAGGGGCCTGCATTCAGGCCAGCACTCCCGTGCTTCCTCTGCGCCAGCAAGTGGCCGGCCCGCAGGGAGCTCGGAAATGAAACAGACCCACAGCCGTCAGGACCACGACAGGCCTGCCTGTTGATCACCTTAAAGTGACAATGACAAGGTCATTTGGAACATTAGGACCCATCAGGTCGAGGGTAGGGTACCACCGCTGTGGCTCCTGGTCTGGACTTTGACACAAAAGAGACGAGGAATTCTAGCAGCATCAGCACGTGAAGGGTCGACAGAATCGCAGAGGCCAGGAAAGTGGCCTTGCTTCTCACTCTCCGGGCACCGTGCGTTACTTCAGAGCACCCCGTCATGACCCACTTAGTATCTTTGGAGCTGACGCTGGAGTAAAAATATTAAGCTGGAGGCAGCTGGAAAGGCAGGTCAGGAGGGAGGAAATGTTTCAGTACGAGTGGGCAAGGGGCAGAGCAGGAGAATGTGTGAGACGGGAGTAGGAAGCAAGTCCAGAAAAAAGCCTAAGGGGTGGGGCATAAGGAAAGCAATTCATGGTGATGAAAACAACTTGTATCAAACCAAGACTAGAGGTTGCAGCAATAGTGCTTGAGGCTGGCGATAAGCCACAGGTTGGAAATGCGTAAGAAAAGACGTCGGAGGAGGTGAAATGGCTTGGCTTGGTACCCTGAGCCGCAGCCAGAGACCTGGAAGTGAGGTGATGTTTACATAGGACCTGCGGAAGCCTCCTGAGAGGAGCACGGCAGCTGCAGTCACACTGTCCCCTAGAAAGGTGGCAGGTCCACTGCAGGTGGAGGTGAAGGTGCTGGTCCCAACAGGGATCTTTCAGGAATCAGGACCAACAGGCTTGCCCAGGGTCAAAGAAAAAGAGGAGGCCTTGCCTTCGTTCTAAGCAAATAAGGTCAGGATGGAACCCAAGATTGAGAAGTTCTGAGATCCGGGTCTTGAAGTAAAGGAAGTGCTTCTTAGGTGAGACCGGCGTGTTCTCTTGGAGGACAGCCTGGAAACTGATGGCAACAATGAGAACTCAGCAGAAACACAGACGTGCGTGATGCGGACCCTCTGCAGAGTCCCCAGAGGGAGGGACAGACCCCGCCAGCCTCTCTGGCTGGGCACTGACCGAAGGACTGTGCGTCTGGGAGCTAGTGCCCAGGCAGTCTCTCAGGGGAGCAGCTCAGTGCCTCCCTGTCTTCAGGGCATCAGTCATTTCCAGGTGCCGGTGACGGTCCAGTGGTGACGGTCCAGTGGCTCCTCAAAGGGGTTTGGGGTCCAGCCTGTCCTGGCTCAGCTGTGGCCCTGTCTCTTACCAGCTGTACCCACCCCAAACCATCCTCCTCTGTGAGATGGCCTCCCACAGCATCACTGTGACAAGGGTCCCTCAAAGGCTGCCCTCCCGTTCCTGGACCACACAGTTACGATGGTTACTCCCACCTGATACTTAGACGCCACTCCTCGTGTTACCTCCACAGGGACTCATTCCTGGTCCACATTCAAGGCCAGGCCTCCCTCTCATGTGCTCCTACAGTCTCTCCCCTTCCTTTCCTGGCAGGTGTCATCATGCGTGATCATGTATTTAACTCTGTATTTGTTTTTCAAATGTATCAATATTTTCTTTTATTACATCCGGGTTTTGAGTTAAGTTAGAAAAGTTGTTCTCTACCTCTGGCCATAAAATAATTCAGCCTCTTTTCTTCTAGTACCTCACGTTGTTTCTTTCCCTCTCTTTTCCAAATTTAGATTCTCCAAACCATTTGGAGTTTAGTCTTCTGTATATGCTGGGAGAGATGGATCTAGTTTTATCTCTTCCAAAATGGGGCTTCTGTTGCCCCAACATCATTTATTAAAAGGTCCACCTTTGCCCAGTGATTGCAGACGCCACCTCTATCACATACTCACTTTCCATATGTACTTGTGTCTATTTCTGGACTTTCTATTCTACTCCATTGGTTTATCTATTAATGCACCAGTACTAGACCATTTTAATCTCAGAGGCTTTATGTCTTAATATCTAGTAAGGCTAGTCCACCCTTGTAACTTTTCCTGTCCAGTGTTCTCTTAGTTTTCCATATATAACTTTCGGATCAACACGTTTAGCTCCATAAAAGCATGTTTTTGTTATTGCTAATGAGATCACATTAAATTTTTTCATTAGCTTAACGGAGAACTGACATTTTTATGACGTGGTGGGTTTACCTGGTCCCTCAAAAAATATGTGAAGTTCTAAGCCCTTGTACTGCACAGTGTGACCTAGTTGGGGAATGGGGTCAGAGAGCTGTGATTGATGATTATTAACATGTCAGCCCTACCAGACTGGGAGCTCCTTGGGGTGCGCTGAGCCCAGCCCAGTTCCCCTGGACCTAGCACAGGCCTAACGTGTGTCAGCACTTCACAGATATTTGGTGAATTCTCATTGAGAAGGGAATGCATTTACAACTCACCGTCTGGCGCATAGCAAACGTGTAATAAATGCAGCTTTTAGTATTACTCCAGCGTGCACCAAAATGCTTACACGTAAAAGGCCTCTAGGACCATCTGTGTTTGTTTAACTACTTGCTACCCATTCAGGATCCTCAGTGTCTCCCACGTCTCCTGTGAGTTTCCCAAAGGCAGGGAACTCTGATTCAGTGCTTCCCCAGCACCTAGCACAGTGCCTGCCACATAAGACGTGCTCAGTAATACTTGTGGCATTTAATTTACATGCAGTCCAAACCTAAGAATTACCTTTATCGCCAACAGCATTTTCAAATGCGTAAGTTGATGGGACTGTACATAATTAAAACAGGAAAGCTCCTTATCTGTGAAGCTGGGGATGGTCAGAATCAAGGGATACATTTCCATCCTTCTACTCACCCCCCGCCACACACACACAGCCAAGCTCATGGCTAAGGCATTCTTGCAGTCCTGGAACCCAGCAGTCTGAGGGTCAGAATGAGCACCACGGGGGTCCTTGGGGAAAAGCCCATGGATAGGTAGCCATGGCCTGAGGTCTGCACCAGGGCCCTCCAGGACCTCCATCACTTTCAGTTTGAAAGGCCTGGGAGGAAGGAGTGATCAATAGCAGGCAGGAATCAGAGTCACTGCTATAGGAAAAGTGTTAGCATTTTCATGTGTTAGTTGCTTCCTCAATAAGTTTTGGGTATATAAACAGTACAGCCATAATTTAAGTGAGTGCAATTTATAGGCAGAGTGCATAGGAACTGATCCTTCAAGTCACAGCTTAAATGTCACCCCCTCCAGGAAGCCTTCCCTGACTACCCAGTTTATGGCATGCCCCTTCTCTTCTCATAGAGCACCCTGTATGCCTTGGAACATTTGGTGAGCTTGTGACTGTTTATTTAATAGCTGTCTCCTGTGCTGAGTAGTTGTCCCCCTGAGGGATCTAGTGACCCCTCAGGGTAGGTACTACATCTGAGGAACCCTGTGCTATGTCCTTGCATCACCCACAGTGACCAGCACACATATTAGACTTGTAAGAAACATTTTTTGACTGGTTGACTCTCAACCTGAGTTTTAGGCAATGAAAGCATGCGCCTAAAAGATGCTTTCTTCCACTTTTTTGTTAATTTGCTAAGAACACAATGTATGACCACATTCCTAGCAAAGTGGGTCCCTGCAGGTGATCCTTCAGGCTATGCTTGACCAACCCCAGGAATGGGACTCACCAGCCCGAGAAAGCACAATTCTGCCTTGGGCCGGCCAGGACTATTAGACATTCTTACATTTCTTGCACCTGAAGCCAATGGCCCTCTTCCCACCCCCTAGGCCCTTCTGGCAAACGACATCCCTTCCAGGATATGAAAACAGATGATGCTCCTTAATTTTCCATTTGCCAGGAAAGACAAAACAGCCCAAGTTCCTTTGTTTGTATCTCCAGTGACCATCTCCTGGCCCACTTGCTCTGATCAGGCCCCGTGGCAACAGCCCTGGTGTCATCTGACTGGGCGCAGACACAAAGGAGCCTTCGCCTCCCTCATTTGGAATGTTCAACTTTCTCCATGGAGCCCCAGTCCCACGGGTTGCTTTGTCTGCCACATACTAGGATCCTAGTGGCCACGGTTTCTCCTCCAGGTGGACACCAGGAACCCCTTTCCATCCCCTTCCAGCACCTTGTCGCCCTGTGCACGGCTGGCCGATGCTGTCCGCTGCGTCTACTTTCTTCCCCTCTTGGAAGGCAGGCTGCCTGTCCCCACGTCCCCTCTGGGGTGCCTCTTTCCTTCTCCCCAGGGCCTCACTGACCGGGCCTACCTCCTTTGCACGCCTCCCTCCTCCTCTCTCAGGCCCCCTTTCCCCATTTCACCATGGAGAGCAAGGAGCAGAAGCGGCTTCCCCTGGGTCCCGGTGCCTCCCTTCTCTTGCCCAACACTGCAGGTCTTGTCCTTCTCTGAGCTGCCTCTTCATTGCACTCCTTTTGTGTAATTTTGTCTCTCAAACTTTGGGCCCCGCCCTCACTCTTTAAGGCCTCTAATGACCCTTCTGCAGATCAAGTTCACCCTCTTATATTTGTCCTTGACGATCTGCCATCCTCCTGACTCGGGGTGTCTGACGCCCAAGCTGGGCTCACCAGCGAGCACCCAGTACAACCACACTGCTCCTGGGGGCTCCCCCAGTCCTTCCCATGGGGGATGATTGGGATTTCGGAGGCAGGGAGGCCACTCGGCTTCCTCATCCTTTTCACCACTGGTCTCTCCAGGGCACGTCATGGAATCCTACCTACTTTTTCATCAGATGCTCTGACATCTCCTCTCTAAACCAAGGGACGAATCTGACCATGCACAGCTCTCCCACCCTTAGCTCCTACAAACCCAGAGGACTTAAAATAATTCTTGGCAAAATTCCCCTCCCTTGCACTTGACCCAGCTCTCTGCATTGATCCTCCTTGCCAGGAAGGCAAGTTAAAAGTTCGTCAGAGGTTTTCATCTTAGCACATGAGACTTCCGGCAGATACCTGGAAAATTGAAATCCAGTCTCATCCATCAGGCATCCTGCAGAAACTATGTGAAGGTTGTGTGCTGCGGGAAGACGGTCTAGAACTTGGGGAAAACACGGGTGAGGTCAAATCCCAGCCCCACTTCTCACCAGCTCGATAACAGGGTCCGAGTTTCTTGACCTTCACAATGAAAATAAAAACCCCTATTTCACCAGAATGTTGTAAGAACCCAGTTGAATAAAGCAGTCTGTCCAAACGCTAGCTGTGCGTCAGAATGACCCAGAGAGAGAGGTTTTTTAAAGCACGGATTTGGGGGCACCACCCCCCAGAGATTCCGATTGCGTGGGTCTGAAAGCACAGTTGTCAGAAAGCACTGAGGTGTTTCTGATGTACCCACAGATTTGGGAACTTCAGAAGTCACCTTTGTAAAATGCCTAGAGCAGCACCCAGAGAGCAGATGCTACGCCAGCGCCTGAGCTCCCTTTGCTGCTAGCTTTTCTCCAACCGCTGCCTTGACTTCCGCTACAAACCCAGTGTCTGCTCGTCTCCCCAAGGCTGAGCTCCGTGGCTCACAGCTCAGATTCCCCTTCCCTCTGGCTCCCAGTTGGGGGGCCCAGTGGCAGACACAGAGGACGATTCAGAAGGATCGTGTGGAAGCACTGTGTGTGCACAGCTTCCGTCAGGGGCCCTATTCTGAGGTTTCAGCACTGTCTACACCCCAGAAACTCTGTTCCTCTCCTTTGGCCCTCCTGGCCCCGATAGGGAGATGCTCACCACTCTTACTAGGTGCCGGGAACCTCAGCATCCCCTGCGAGTCCCTTTAACCCAGCCCACACCGCGGTAAACAGACGCCTTGTAAACGACCGTCTTCGTGTGACTTATAAACCTTCCTCAATGCCACATGTGCTCGCTGAGTCTAGAAACCACCCTCCCCTTCCTTCACTGGGTAAGGAGACCTGTAGTCAGTCCTCACAACCATCTTATTCCTCACCCTGCTCTCCCCATCCATGCTTGCACCCTCCGGCTCTCGGATGTCCAGGCGTTGCCTTTCTGCTTGCGCCTTCCTCGTCCTAAGAAGTTTCTTTATTTCACCTACGGTATATTCTTGCTAGTTTTATTCGTATTTCAATCTGCAGTTTCATTTTCCCAAGTGTCAGGATCTCGCTGGGACTGTTTCTAATGCCCGGTGTTGTATTCTCAAGCACACTTCATTCCTAATCCGTGACCTGCCCGTTTGCACGTCAGTGTCTGAGATCAGATGTAGCATTTTTTAGTCCCTTTCCAAGCTCTTCTCCTGGGAATCCAGTGCCCTGTTTGTATTCTTCTTTTGATGCCGTATCACTTGCTAGAGTGTGTTTGGAGATTTAACTAGACTTTCTTCTTCATTCAGTGACTTTAAAACCCTTCGGGATAACCCATTCTTTCTCTTTCTCAACCTTTTCATCTTTAGCCAAACAATCCACCCTTCAGTCGTGAGTCGTGATCATGGGCATCATCTTTTTCTTTCAAAGTCTAATCATTGCAAGAAAAGAAGCTGAAAACAGAGCCTGACCTCCAAGGACCACTCACTTCCTGCCTGAGACCCCTGCCTGGGTCACTCGCCACAGGCTATTCACACGACTTCTTGGCAGGAGGACGAGGTGGGCGGTAGCCATCACTACCTCTCTGCAGGTTCTCAGCCACGTCGCAGACACGCCCTTGGGGAGGATGGCCCATCTCCATAGCTCAGTCAGTTGCAGAAGCTTCCATAATGGCCTGGGCAGAACCGTCAACGCCTGCAAGTGTCAGGTTCCTCCTGGGGCTGGTGAGCAACTGTCTCTGCATCTTGCAGTGCCTGGGGTTCCTCTCTGTTATCTCAAGTGTCTTCTCCAGAAGGCCTGGCTTTCTCTTTGTGGGACAAGACTCCTATTTATACGAGATTCCATTGGTATGGAATTTCCTCCTGTCATGTGTCCTCTATTGAATCCTATCTTTCTGTTCTTCCACCGTTCGTTATTCTGCAGCATCTTCTCTTTTTATGTCACGTTCTTCCATCTTCAGTCTTCTGGACTCAAATGGTACTTTTGCTTTTAGTTGGAATATTAGTTGTTAGTTTCCATTAGGCTCCATTCCCTGTTATGTGAGAGCACTCAAAGTCATACTTGAAGCTACGTATTCTTTCTGCAAGTCCAGACAACCTCTTGCTCTTACGATGACCTTTGGACAGAGCAGCCCTCTGAACTTCCATGGTCATCATTAATGTGGAAAGGGAGTGGGGTCATTCCGAGGGCCCAGGAGTCTGTATGTTTGCCATTTATTTATTCATCTATGAAACATGCGTTTATTATTTGTCGGGCTCTGTGTGAGCCGTGGGGATGCAGCAGTGAACATGGCCAGCGTGGACCATGCCCTCATGGGGCTTAGAACCCAAGAGGGAACACAGACTCTCAGTGAAATTCTTACAAGTGTGATGAGCACAGGGCAGCAAATGCAAGGGGATCCTGGGGTGGGGTGGGAGGGTGAGAGTATACAAGCACACTCTCTGCCACCATCTCAGGGGCATCTTGGTTCTTCCACACCCAACATCATCTCTTGACCCCCACCCCTGAGCAGCACCTGCCCAGACTCTTTCTGAAATAAGAACCATTTGTTGACGTGCTCATCACGGGTTGAAGCTCTAAAGCCAGCAGGTGCACCACTGTCATGGATTTAATGATAACTCTTTGTATGAGGCATATGCTGCCTTTCAAATTAGCTGTGGTTGAAAAATAATTCCTACAATAAAAGATTGGAGACAAAATGATTTCAAAAATTAGAATTGAGAAGTACGTTTGATAACCAGTATTCATGCTGGAGAGTGAGATGAGTTTTTATGTATTTTTATGTGTTTCATTTTTACTACTCTCCTTTTGGAGAACAAGGGGTCTGACATGGCTAAAGGCTTTGCTGGCTTTCAAATACCTTTTAGAACCAGGGATTTTTTTTTTCTTTTGGGTGGAAGGTTGTCCCAACTGTGCTTTCTTTTATTATCTTGTACAACGAGTGCTTGAAAGTAGCTGTTTTTCACTTTACTGGCATGAGCTCCCCCCACTTCTATTTTCCTCTGAGATTTCTGCCAGGAGGTCTGTTGTGTTGCCTTGGACAAAACTCCCTGGACCCAGCTGCCCACAGCCTCCATCCCCCTCAGTGTGGGTAACGAGTGTGTGGTGTCACACCCCCTCTGACGGCCAGCCCGTGGGAACACTGGCAACATTGCATTAAGAATTCACTTTGAGTTGTCACTTTTTTTTCTTTTCTTCTTCCTTTTTATGTTTTTTTTTTTTTTTTAAATTCCTACTTGGGAACTTTCAAAGGCAGAGGGAAAAAACTCACATCTCTATCTCTTCTTTTTTGAAAAACAAAACCCCAAAGACTCCTGGGATTCTGCTCAGAGAACCAAAGATGTTTCCCCTCAGCTGAACTCGGCCACCATCATTGACATCCACCCTTCCTCCACCTACAGCATCCGAATGTACGCCAAGAACCGGATTGGCAAGAGTGAGCCCAGCAACGAGCTGTCCATCACCGCGGACGAGGCAGGTACGTCTGACCGGCGGGGACCCAGGGGCTGGCAGCTGGCCTGCGGGACTCAGGTGGTTAATGCAGGGTCACAGCTTTGATGACTGCTCTCCATAGCTCTGCGCCCCATCAAAACCACAGACGGCTCTCTGCCGCCTACTTTGAAAGCAGTGCTCTTCAAACAGGACTTAGGTCAAGGTTCTCACACCTAAGACTTAAAAGAAAGACCTATGAGGCTAACAAGCTGGTGAGATTTAAAGAACCATGCTGTTCTTAAAATCCCTTTGTCTGGATGCGTGGAATCCAGATGGGCAGGAGAGCTGTGAGCCTATGTCTTGCTCAAGTGGCTGTGCAGTCAGGGGAGGGGGGATCCCTTAACTAGGAAATGGCAAGAATATTCTCTGGGTGGGGAGGTGGGAGACGGAGGCACAGGTTATTTGACTGACTAGAAATGTCAATATCTCTGTCATCAAGAGTATCGCACTTTTTTCCTATTACAAAGTATTTCTTATTGTGTTGAAGACATGGAAGGTAGAGATAGGCTTTTTGAAGACAGAACAGCTCACACAATCCTACCACCTAGCGCTACCTATGAATATGTTGATATCACACACTAAATTATTCATCACACACGCACGCGTGCACGCTCACCCACACATGCACACATGGACACACAGAGACACACACCCTTCAACAGGGAGGTTCACTCGTGGTTGCTGGGGGTGGCAATAACCTGTTCACAGAGGACTAAGCAATTAGGCAGTGGCAGTGCATGCTGCCTGCCAGCCCGTCTCCTGGCAGGACAGGAGGATGCAAGCTGCCCTAGGGCTTCTCTGGGGAAGGAAAGGTAAGGAACCGTGGCCTGGCTCATCCTTTGGGGGCAAAAGAGCATCCAGCCCCAAACCTAGCTTTTCTTTTCCTGCCCCCAGTCAGAGCTAACCAGCTAGTCCCTACTGCTTCAGGGAAGGTGGAAGCTTGGTCTCAGACCCCTAGTTCCAAAATCACCAAGAGTAAGGGGATCACCCCCAAATGTCTAAGCTTCCACAAGAGGTCGCTGCATCTTTCAGCGGGGGTTGTTATTGACTCCCTTCCCACCACCTGCTTCTCTGTTACCTTCATTAATGGCACTTCGCATAGCTATCACTCTTCTGTATCTCTTGAGGACTTTCCTACAATATGTAATTCTACCTTCCACCATTTCTTTAGCAAACCCCACGTTTTTAAGTATGTTGGTTATTTATTTTTTAATTGAGGTATAGTTGATGTACAATGTTGTGTTAGTTTCAGGTGTACAGCAAAGCGATTCAGTTATACATATATATGTATGTGTGTGTGTGTGTGTGTGTGTGTGTATATATACATACATATTCTTTTTCAGATTCTTTTCCATTATAATTTATGACAAGATATTGAGAACAGTCCCCTGTGCTATACAGTAGGTCCTTATTGCTTATCTGTTTTACGTATAGTAGTATGTATCTGTTAATCCCAAACTCCTAATTTATCTCTCCTCTTCTTTCCTTTTTGGTAACCATAAGTTTCTTTTCTATGTCTGTGCATCTGTTCCTGTTTCGTAAATAAATTCATGTGTATCATTTTTTAGATTCCATTTATAAGTGATATCATATCATATTTGTCTCTGTCTGATTTACTTCATGTGGTATGATAATCTCTAGGTCCATCCATGTTGCTGCAAATGGCATTATTTCATTCTCTTCTGTGGCTGAGTAATATTCCATTGTGCATATGTACCACATCTTTTTTATCCATTCATCTGTCAACGGACATTTAGGTTGGTTCCATGTCTTGGCTACTGTGAATAGTGCTGCTATGAACAACGGGGTGTATCTTTTCGAATTAGAGTTTTCATCTTTTCCAGATATATTCCCAGGAGTGGGATTGCTGGATCATATGGTAGCTCTATTTTTAGTCGTTTTGAGGAACCTCCATACTGTTCTCCATAGTGGCTGCACCAGTTTACGTTCCCACCAACACTGTAGGAGGGCTCCCTTTTCTCCACACTCTCTCCAGCATTTATTGTTTGTAGACTTTTGGATGGTGGCCATTCTGGCTGAGGTGAGGTGGTACCTCACTGCAGTTTTGATTTGCATTTCACTTCAATTTTTCGTTATCATAAATACTACTGTGATGAACATCCTTGTGATATATCTTTTCCCATTTGCAACATTATTTTTTATGTTAAATTCCAAGAAGTAGGATTGCTGGATCACAGCAAATGCAAAGATATAATCCCTTTGCTGTGCACAATCAACATGGTCCTCAAAGTAGGTTAACGTTTACTATTTTTCCTGAACTGCAGATGAGTATTCATTTCTCAACTCTAGAACACATCAGTTCTTGAAAATTGTTTTCAAGGATGGGAGATAGGATAGCGTTATGCTCCAGTCTGAGGGCGAGCCACGTTTAACCCTCGGAAACTGCGTGATTTCTCATCAGCAAAATGCACATAATGATGCCTTTCTCCTCTTCACCGCAAACATGTTGGATAATTGAAAAAAAAAACCAATCTCTGAAAGTACATTGCATTGCTCAGAAATAAGTAGGAAATGAGTGTCAATAGGCTCCTGCAAAAATAGAATCTTATTTAAATATTTATGTAAACAACACACTAATTTCCTGGAATTTCATCATGCTGGGGATTTAGGGAGAATAACCTGCCCCGAAATGAAAACTTTGGCTCAGGGCTGAGCCTTCTCCTTCCTTTTAGCCACTTTTCCGACTCTGCCCATCTCCAGAACCTTCTCAAGGCAGCGATGTTTTTCCGGTGGTGCATTTCGCGCTGCTTTCCCCATCGCCATGACCAATGCAGCTGCTGTTGCTTATTCTCTCATTTCCTCTGTGAACTTCCTGAAGCTGGCAGTTGCCATGGCAGCGCTTCTCTCTCCAGCCGGGAGGCCAGGTTGAACAGCCGCTCCTGGTCACCGGTCACCAGTGTGCAGCCCACTCCCAGGCATCTCTGCAAACAGACGGATGCAGAGTCCCCTGCTTGGACCCTGGGCTGGCCTTTGGGGTTTCACCTGGGTGCTGGCTGCTGGCAGCACCACAGCCCATCATTTACTCTTCAGATGAGCTAAGAGAGAATGCAAGGAAAGGTCAGGCTTGTGCAAAGGAAAGCCGCAAAGCAGAATTTGGCTTTGTCTTGGTGTGTAGGTTTGCATGACTGAAATCAAAAAGTCATTTTCTTACGTGTGACTCACGTAAAACAGAGGGAAGCTCTCCTGACCAAAGATACCCTCTGTAGCACTGCCTGCAGTGGCCCTAGATTGTTCCTGCCACCTCCTGGCGAGGATCCCCAAAGGCACATCTTCTAGGGAGCTGCAGCCATCTCGAGAGAACTTTTTCCGGCCCTTACTGCCCTCTTCCCCTGAAGAAATGG